AAAAAAAAAAAAAAATAGATGAAAATAAAAAAATTAAAAAGAGAGAGGGAGAGAGTGATATAGAGAAAGAGGAGAAAGATGGGGACAGATGCAGAGAGAGAGAGTGTGTGCTGAACTACTTTAATTTTGCCTTGCCTTGTACTCATACTCATGTAAGCAGTAATATTTAAAAAATTTTTGTTTTCCCGGCATCCAATTTGAATGTTTAGTTTTTTCACACCAGAAGCAGAGCTGAGTCACCCGTGGCAGTTTCTAGCTCTGCCTCCTCCCAGTTCCTCAATGTTATCGATCCAAGATGCCTACCTTATATGACCACCCTGGTGACAACTTCCCTGTGGGACAGCCAGATAGAGTGAAGCTGACTCACTCTGATGACCCTACACTCCACTCTGATTGCGCGGGTTTCCTGCAGTGACCACTCTTGGCTGCAGAGTGCCTACAGCCTACTGCCACTAAATCTACCCATTATAACATCCCACAGGAAACCTGCCCAGGGAAAATCCTGAACCCCAATGAATGCTTTTTCTCACGGATCCTTCCTGTCCTTTCTCTTGCTCCTCACCCACTGGCTGCACACTTGTGTGTGTGTCCCAGCCCCCTCCCACTTCCTGATGGCCCTCTTCTCTCTGGGATCTGTAAGGAATAAACTGCTTATTATTTCACATGTTGTTTGGTACTGCCTCCTCTGATCCACACACCCAACCTAACTCTTCTCTCAGATTCTCCTAAAGGGCCTTGGTAGGAATAAACTGAACACAGGCCAGGCAAGAACCACAGGGGTGTTTGCCAGGATAGACAAGTTTCTTGTGACAGGGACACCTGGTCACAGACTGGGCACTTAGGAGTTAGACCATTGGTCAAGGCAAATAAATATCCCGTGAGAGGCACGTTGGAGGACACTCTGGAACACTGTCAGGGCAGGGCTAGAATCAGAAGAAATCAGAGGAAAAATACTCTCTCTCAATGGGCTCCGAGAAGATCAGAAATCCTCAGAGAATAGAAGAGAGAGAAATGAAAGTCCCTTCCATTACAAAATGGAATGAACACTGCACCCAAACCTCCAGAGTTTGATCTCTGCGGTTATGAGTTGTGAGGCCCAGAAGAGAAAGTGAAGCTCTTCCCATGGACAGCCAGAGGCTTTTCACCAATGTCCCTCTCTCAGGGTGCCTCCTCCCCGCCCCATGACTCCAGTTTGAATAGCAACCCACACCCTGGCATACTTGGACAACCCCCCATGCTTGTTTAATTTCTCTTTAAAACATACTCTTTGCCTCTTTTACTCTGCTTGGTATTGCTACCGTATTTTACTTGTTAACTTTGTTTTTTAATCTCCCCCTCAGTAGAAGGGAAGCTCCGGAAGGCAGAGGTTTCTGTTCTGTTCACTGTTGTGGCACCTGGAACTGTGGCTGCCCATGGCAGATCCAGGTAATGTTTGTGGAGTGAATAGAGGAATGTTAGGGTTGTTTTTGATTATTCTGAACGAAGGTGAGAAGGGGGCAAAGCAGTATGCGCCTGCCCCCTGCCCCTTCTCTTTTTCACCGTTTTTTTCCTCTCTTCTTTCCCTCTCTCTTTGGCAGGTTCTCTCTCCTTCCCACTCTCTCTTTCTCTGTTTCTCCCGCTTCCTCCCTCGCTGTTTCCTCCTCTTTCTTGCTCCCCTTTGTCCCTTCCCTTCTCTCTTTCTCCATCTCTCCATCTCCTCCTCCCCCTGTCTGTCTGCCTCCTTTCTTGATTTCTCCCTGTCTCGGTCTTAGCCTGTCTCACCCCTCACCAGCCCCCAGCCTCCCACCTCCCCGCCCCCGGTACATACCCGGCCCCTGTTACCTGTGTAATTCAGCTGCAGCTCAGCTATGTCCCACTGGAAGAAAAGATCAGAAAATAGATCAAAGCCTTAAACAACGGAAGTTTTGTATTCCCTAAATCAGGGCGATCTCTTTTCACTGTTGACCCTCCTACTCACCCCTCATCCCACTTTCTATAAAAGAAAAGAAAAGGACTTCTTAAAGAGGAAGTAAGTTTGAACCAGCGGGGAGGGTGAAGACAAGACTTTCAAAAGGACTTCCTGGCTTTCCTGGACATCACCAAAGGACCCCACCGCGTCCCTGCCCAGGCGAGCGGCCGCTGCCCTGTCTCAGGATGCCCCAGGAACCACTCCCCCTCTCAGCTTTGTGAAGCCCCCAGCCGCCTCTGAGTCAGCCTGCCGGAAAATACCAGAGAGTAATTTTCCACGTCTACGTCGGATGCACCTTTCCCACCCCGGGATCCCCCTTTACTGCCCGGGGCGGCATGTTGGCCGCTGCCTTGCCGACTTGCTGGTGACACAGGCTGGGGTACAGTGGGCGATCACACCTCACTGCATTCTCCAACTCCTGGCAAGCGATCCTCCCGTCTCAGCCTCCGGAGTATCTGGGACTATAGGTGTGCCACCACGCCCGGCTAATTAAAAAAGATTTTGTTTGCAGCGTCCGCTATGTAGTCCAGGCTAGTGCTGTATTCCTGGCCTCAAGCGATCCTCCTCCCGCCTCGGCCTCCCAGAGTGCTGAGATTATAGGCGTGAGTCACCACGCCCGGTATTGGCTTTTTTCGGTTTGTTTTGAGGGCCAGCCTGCGCTTTAGACCCGCGCTCTCCGCCTCTGTCCGCCCCGAGGCCCCCGGCTCCCGGAGCAGCTGGCGGGTGAGCGCTCCACTCTGCCGCCTTCGCTTCTTGACTCACCCCAGGTGACCGGAGCTGCTGCTGCTGCGGGCACAGTACGAGATTGCAGAGCAAGCAGTAGATCCCCATAGCAAGACACAGCAGGGGCAGAGCGTTCGGGACGCACCGCCACACCAGGCGGGGCACCTGGCAGCCAGAGCCGTCCTCCGCCATCGCCGCCGGCCGGCCCTGCATCAGCGAAAGTGCGGCCAAGAAGCCAGGAAGGAAACTCCAGCCCCCTCGGGCGGCTCTCGAGCATCTGCTTGCCTGAACTTGTCGGCACATAACCGCTCTTCTGTGGGGATGTCCGGCGGGTGGGTGGGGAGGGACTTGAGCTATTATTCTCAAGGAGGGAAATCCCCCCCAGCCAGCGGCTGTCAGTCCCCATCTCTCTCTCAGATGGGGGGAGAGGCAGTGGCGGTGTGTGTGCACGTGTATGCATGCGTGCAGGCGTGTGTGTACATGTGTGAGTGGGCGCGCACTGCCAGTTTGTCTGCCCTACCCTGCCCCTCAGGCAGGGGACACCCAATCTTCCCATTTGTCTTCCCACCCACCCCAGCCCCCCAGGGTGTTGGCTCATTCATTCAACAAAACTTTATTGAGATTTTGGCTCAAGTGATCCTCATGCCTCAGCCTCCCAAGTAGCTGGGGCTACAGGTGTGTGCACCACACCAGGTTAATTTTCCTATTTGTTTTGCAGAGACAGGGTCTTGCCTTGCTCAGCCTAGTCTCAGACTCCTGGTTTCTAGTAATCCTCTCACTTCAGCTCTCAGAGTGCTGGGATGACAGGGAGAAACACCATGTCCAGCTTCCTGAGCATCTATTAGGGACAGATAGTGGGCTGCTGGGTGTTAGGAACACAATCAAACAGCCAGGAATTGGGATCACTCCCTAGATATCCATGTGTTCCTCTCCATTTTCCCAGTCTCCCTGGCAGTCAGGTGGGGCCAGGTGACTACCCTGCCGGATGGCAAGACAGTGGAAGTGGTGGAGCATCACTGTTGAGGCTGGCTCTTTAGAAACACTCCACATAGCACATAGTTTTCTCCCCCCTCTCCCCTTGGAGGCCTCCAGCTTTTTTTTTTTTTTTTGAGACAGAGTCTCATTCTGTCGCCCTGGGTAGAGTGCTATGGTGTCATAGCTCACAGCAATCTCCAGTTCTTGGGCTTAAGTGATTCTCTTGCCCCAGCCTCCCGAGTAGCTGGGACTACAGGCATCTGCCACAATGTTCAGCTATTTTTTGTTGCAGTTGCCACTGCTGTTTTAGCTGGCCTGGGTTGTGTTTGAACCCAGTACCCTTCATATATGGGACTGGTGCCCTACCCACTGAGCCACAGGCGCTGCCTGGCCTCCTGTTCTTGATGGCTGCAGTGGGTTGAACAGGGTCTTTCCCACACTGATGTCCACATGGAAACTCAGAATGTGACCTCATTTGGAAATAGGCTCTTTGCACATGTAATTAAGTTAGGTGAGGTCATGCTGGATGAGGGTTGACTCTATATCAGATGGGGTGAGGCTGAAAGCACATATAGTGAGAATAGGATGGATCCATTCAGGCTACAGTTGAGAGGACACTGCTGGTCAATTTAGGCCCAAAGTGACCTTCACCTCATGTTTCCCATTCTTGCTGTTTTGCAAATTCAGCTTTAACCTTAAAGTATATATCTTGAGTAGTTTAGAGCAATTGATTTAGGAGAATAACTTTTTTTTTTCTGAGATAGGGTCTCACCATGCCATCCTCTGTAGAGTGAAGTGGTGTCACAGCTCACAGCAACCTCCGATTCTTGGGCTTAAGCAATTCTCTTGCCTCAGCCTCCCAAGTAGCTGGGACTATAGGCGTCTGCCACAATGCCCAGCTATTTTTTGGTTGCAGTTGTCATTGTTGTTTAGCAGGCCCGGGCTGGGCTTGAACCCACCAGCCTCGCTGTATGTGGCCATGCCCTACTCACTGAGCTACGGGCTCTGAGTGTAGGAGAATAACTTTTCAACTGGAATGTTGTTTGGGGTCCTGGGTAATGCTGATTATTGTTTATTATGGGTCATGGGTTATGCCAATTATTTTTGCTTACGATAAAGATTAACATGATTTTTACTTTGAGCTTTTATGTATAAAACTATGATTTTGGAAACAGAAGAATAGAACAGTCTTACAGAGGCTACTCTCACTGTTCTCCAGAATCACTGGCCTTCTGACAAATTTTGGCAGACCTGTCCCCTTCTCTGAATATTGGCTGACAGTGACAGGTGGCTGGACCATCTTTGTCCAGTAACAGGGTTGGGGGTATAACAAGGAGGAAATGAAAACAGGAGAGATTTCAGAGCTTGAGCTAATGGTACTTGGTCTGGGGAGTGACAGGTGAAAGAAGGAAGTCACATAGGTCCAGAATCCTTGAGGCCCAGGCAATCAGCATACACTCCCTGGAATCCCCACTAATAAAGGAATTTCCTTTTTTTTTTTTTTTTCTGAGACAGAGTCTCAGTTAGTCACCTTGAGTAGACTGAGTACTGTGGCGTCATAGCTCAAATTGCTATGATGCTCATCATAGCTCCTGGGCTCAAGTGATCCTCTTGCCTCAGCCTCCCTAGTAGCTAGGACTACAGGTGCCCATTACAAAACCTGGCTGTGTTTTAGAGACAAGGTCTTGTTCTTGCTGAGGCTGGTTTTGACCTTGTGAGCTCAAGGAATCCACCCACTTTGCCCCCCGGAGTGCTAGGATTACAGGCATGAGCCTCCATGCCCAGCCAATAAAGGAATTTCTTTCACTGAAGCCCCAGAATTCCAGGTCTGGGGAAATGAAGTGGGTTATGCTATTATTTCTATTGTCTTTAGAAGCAGGCTGAGAGAAGGAGTCTACCAGCTTCATTCACCTGGCAAGGAGCTTGGAGAGGAGGCGCCTGGGTTTGAATGCAGACTTGTATTGCACATAAGAACCTACACTTCCCCACCTGACTCAGTTGGTGACTTGAGCTGAGTTCTGATTGCTCGCACTGCAGTCTGTGCAGTTCTGCTGAAGATTGGGGGCATCTTTTTTGATGTTTGAGGAGGGGGTCTTCCTTAACTGCTGACTCTATGCTGAGGCTATAGGACAAGACATCTACTGCCCTTGCCAACTAACTTCCTACCTCTCTCACTATTTTCTTCCTCTAAATCAGGAGGTCAGGAGCCCTGTGCAGGGAAGAAAGGTAAGGGGTTTGGTCCAGGAGGCAACTGAGGGACAGGAAATAAGACCACTTCCCCTCTAAGGGAAGCCTCAAGCCCAGTAGGCTGATTTTTGGTAGCTGCCTTCTTCACCTCCCTTCTATGCACTGGGAGCTGAGGGCAGCTTGAAGGTGCCCACTCAGGCTCCTCTTTGTATAACTTGGCTGCCTCTCCTCTTTACCTTTGCTGTGGCTGGCTGCAAGTTGTGCAGGGCTGTGCCTTGCCAGAGCCCTATACAGGAAAGTGACAAAGAGCCTTCATTTTACAGCTTCCCCTTACCCACATAGCACACCTCCTGTCTCTGGGATTTCAGATGGGAGAGATCTTTGAAACCACCCTTATAAATTACCAAAAGGGGCTCGGTGCCTGTGGCTCAAGTGCCTGTGGCTAGGGCGCCAGCCATATACACCCAAGGTGGTGGGTTCAAATCCAGCCCGGGCCC